ACGGTGACGCTGACGTGACGTGACCTGGGCGGATACATTCGTTGACTCGCACTCACTGACGTGACGGTGACGCTGACGTGACGTGACCTGGGCGGATACATTCGTTGACTCGCGCTCACTGACGTGACGTGACGCTGACGTGACGTGACCTGGGCGGATACATGCGTTGACTCGCGCTCACTGACGTGACGGTGACGCTGATGTGACGTGACCATGGGCGGATACATTCGTTGACGCGCGCACACGGACGTGACGGTGACGGTGACGGGGACGTGACACTGCCGGGCAAATGCGTGACATGACACGTGGGCGACGGTGACGTGACAGTGACGGTGACGTGACGTGGTTGGCAGACATGCATGGCGTATAGTAGTAGTTGTAGTTGTAGTTGTAGTTGTAGTAGTAGTAGTAGTAGTGGTAGTGGTAGTGGTAGTGGTAGTGGTAGTGGTAGTGGTAGTGGTAGTAGTAGTCGTCGTCGTCAGTAGTAAGTAGTAAGTAGTGAGTAGTAAGTAGAAAGTAGTAAGTAGTAAGTAGTTAGTAGTAGTAGTAGAAGTAGTAGTATAGTAGCAGTAGTAGTGGTAGTGGTAGTAGTAGTCGTAGTAGTAGTAGTAGAAGTAGTAGTAGTAGGAATAGAAATAGTAGAAGAGGTAATGTAGCAGTAGTAGTAGTGATTGTAGTAGTAGTAGTTGTAGTAGTAGTAGTAGTTGTTGTTGTTCTTGTTTGTGTTATTCTTGCGGTTCTGTGTGCGTTTGCTCCAGTGCTGGCGCTGATGTGTTTGTTGTGGAGGATGTCGTTGGTGTTTGGCGTTGTCTTGTTGTTGGTGTTGGCGATATTGTTGACGTTTGTTGTTGTATGTTGTTGGGTGTTGTATGTTGTTGTCCGTTAACGTCGTCGTGGATGTTGTTGGTTGTTGTTTTAGTTGCTGTTTTGTTCCAGCGCTGGCGCGGATGTTGTTGCGATTGCTGGTTGGTTGTAGTTTATAGTCTGTTGCTATTGTTCTGGGTGTGGTCGTTGTTACATACAGGCGCTGCCGCGCGGGCGGTAGCACCGCAAAGCGGAGAGAATACTGTTACGCAGCGTTGAGCCAGTACATTTTCTACGCGCTGAGTGTGGTAAACTTGGAAGAAGCAGATGTGTAAGGAAGCTCTCACGCCGTTAGGAAGCTGTTACACCATTACCGAGCTGTTCTGCAGATCAGAAGCCAATACCCCGTTCAGAAGCTGTTAAAGCCATAGGAAGCTACTGCGCCGATAGGAAATTGTTACACCGTTGGAAAGAAAAACGGCGCTTAGGTCAAAGACGCAGGCCGGCCACTGAGTTAATGTCAGAAGATGTTGCCTTCAAAGTCTGCAGCGTTTTCTCACCTGCAAGCAAGGTCAGCAAGGCTTTGAAGTTACAGTGACAGCATACCAAGCACATACGGAAAAAGCCATGAAAGTATGACATCAAATGACCGTGAAGAAGATTTCTCACGCTCAAAATGACCAAGCTTGCAATCCTTTCGCGGTTCGCCGTCCGAAACCAAAACGAGACTTGGATCATAGACCAATGGGCAGGCCACGCACAGGTGGTGTCACATGGAGTCTTTCACTGCGGAGGAGCGTCCAATATGGACAACGCCACCACCAGAAGTCAAGAGGGATGCTGTTTGCGCTAAAAGTTGTTATGGTCATACACATGGCGCATAAAAAATGCTTTCTTGGCAGCTGCAGAGAGGCAGGCAAAGAACAGCGATGGCTCGGCCACATGTGAGAGATGATGAAACCCAAGCGATGGAAGATGTTAGCGCAGCATAAATTTAGCCACCCAGCAAGATGCGCCAACCGGATGCTTTGAGGAACGTCCACGAAGTCTTACAAGGCCCAAGGATGAAAAGATTAAGCTTGCTTGGTACGACCGCGCGAGGCCGGCAAACACACAAGTGGCACGGTCCCTGGAGATAGCCCAATTGCGTCACGATTGCGCCCTGTATGGCACAAGTAAGGACACAAAGAAGGGAACATCATTTATAGAGCAGAGCGCTCACAAAGCTTGGAGCTTGCAAGTGGAATGTTCTGCAACGCCCGAAGCAAAGAGTCTGGCCCGTACAGCGCGGTCGCACTTACGATTCCTATGGTATATCGGGGCACCTGGACGATGCGCTGCCGTTTACGATGCACCCACGACGAAGTGACATTCGATGCGCAGGTGTCACGTCAGGCGCAGCATGGCAAGCGCCGAGGGCCCAGGAAGCTGGTGGATTTTGTTAACTGTGAAGCACGACTTCCAGGGCAGCACTTTCTGAACCTTCAAGCAGCGCTCACCCAGTTGTAGTCGTAGATGTAGGAGAAATAATAGTAATTGTTCTTGTAGTTGTCGTTTTTGTAGTTGGCAGTAGTGATAGTAGTAGCGAATCTTCTAGAGAAAAAGTCATTGGTAGTGGTAGTATAGTTTGTAGTAGTGGTAGTAAAAGTAGTAGTAGGAGTAGTCGTAGTAGTAGTAACAGCAGCAGCAATAGTTAGTAGTAGGTAGTAGTTCTATTAGTAAGCCTGGTTATAATAGTATAGTAGTAGCGGTTGGAAGTAGTAACAGCAGCAGCAGTTTTTGTGGTGGTAGTAGTAGTAGTAGACCGAGCACTAGCACTAGCGCTAGCGCTAGCAGTAGCAGTAGCACTAGCATTAGCAGTCGCAATAGTAGTAGCAGTAGTCGTAGTCGTAGTCGTAGTCATCGTCGTCGTAGTAGTAGTAGTAGTTGTTGTTAGTAGGTAGTAGGTAGTAGTTAGTACTTAGTAGTAGTAGTCGTAGTAGTAGTAGTTGTTGTTGTTGCTGTGGTAGTGGTCGTGGTAGTGGTAGTGGGCGACGTGACGGTGACGTGACGGTGACGTGACATGATGTGGGTGACGTGACGGTGACGTGACGGTGACATGACGTTGACGTGACATGATGTGGGTGACGTGACGGCGACGGTGACGGTGACGTGACGTGATGACGCGGCTGGCCCCGGTCTCGAACGCGGACCGTTATGAGAAGATGCTGTCCGAATGAGGTGGATTCTTATCTGGAAATCCTTGCCAGAAGGCGGCCACAAGGCCGAGGCTCAGGCAGTGCTCTTGGGGTACATGGACCCCGAATCTGAGGGTTGAGCTACAACCTCTCCAACTACCACCAGGCAAACTCAACAAATCCAGTTGACTAAGCAGCCTGGAAATCCTTCCGAACATGGAAGGGCGACGTCACCAGACCCTTCTTTCAATCCAGGGAATACCTGAAGAACTGTTGTGTACCCCATGTCCAGAAATCCTGGAAGCAATGGGATTGCCCCGATGCACCGTTGGAATGGTACAGAACAATCTTGGCCAGATCCCTGCTGCTGGACCTTTCAGGTGGCAGGAGAATTGAAAGGATTGATCTCAGGACATGTTGACGATTTTGTATTCTCTGGAGACGAGACCTGCCCTCAATGGAACCAACTGCTTGAGCAAGTGAAACGAAAATACAAATGGTCAGATTGGGAATCTGGGACCTTCACACAATGTGGAGTGAAGGTGGACTGTGCCAAAGACGGAACACACGCTCTTTCTCAGGAGTCATACATTGAAGACCTCAAGTACATAAATGTACGAGCACATCGGAAGAAGGGCAAACACAGTGACACAGACGAGCTGGAAAAAGGACAGCTCAGAGCGTTGCTGGGTGGGGTAAGTTGGCTTGCGCAACAGACAGCGCCTTATTTTTCAGCGGAAACGGGACTCCGACTTTCAGAAGTCAGTTAAAAGCACAGTGGAAACACTCTTCCGAGCTAACAAGCTAATGTCAGAGGTGAAGAACATGAAGGATCATAAATTACAGTATAAACGTTTTGGTTTGTTCGTGTGGTGTGATGCCTCCAACCAAAACAGGATCGATGGGGGAAGTACCCAGGGTTACTTGATTGGTGCCTCCAATCTTTCCATGTTGCAGGGTTCATGTGAACATGTGTCTCCCATAGCATGGAACTCCTCCAAGATACACACATTGTTGCGGTAAACGCAGAAGACTCCCTGTTCTTTGCCACCCGATTTCAGTTCGGAGATGTTGGGTCGACCCTTCGGAGGGTCAATAACATCGTGAATTCGATCACCGGTTGTTTGATCACCGATACCCGACATGTTTACGATAAGTTGTCGACTGAGGTGATTTGCACTAAGGGAACCGAGCGCAGAGTGGACATCGAACTAATGGGCTTGAAGCCGTCGCAGCTGAGGAGTACAAGATGGGCGCACAGCGACGCCCAGCTCTCGACGAACTCGCTCACGAAGAACGAGCAACGGCAGCTTCTTCTATGATATAAGATGCAGCAGCGGTGGAGGATCGTACAAGACGACACAATGTCTTCAGCAAAACGTGTTTTTGTTGTTGCTTCTTTTCACCAATCTAGCACCTCGGCCGCAACAGAGCAGGTGGCATGTGATGTCACCATCAGTTGACTCGAATCCGACCGCCCGACCGAGTCAAGAGTGGTCCAAAAGAAGTGCATCAGGGCACATTTAGATTGCAGTGGCCATCTCATAGGCCCCTAGCGCGAGAAGGCCACTTGGTGTTTGAGCTTGAGGTAAGCTGTTGAACCGCTTACATATAGTATATGGTATATGTATATATATATATATTATATATATATATTCTCAAAGTTGGTTTCATTTCAGGGTAGGCGGCTTGGAAGCTCCAAGGTAGAGCAAGGTAGAGCTAGCAAACATTAGGAAGCTAGCAGAGAAGCAAAAGAGCCTTTGCTGTAAGAAATGGTTCGTTTTGATGTTCGCCGTAAGGACCTGAACACTTTTGAATCGCCTTTCTTTGAAGCCAGGGGAAGGGTAGGCCAGTAAGAGAGGTGGGGCATAGGCCGAGGCAAGAAGGTACACAGAAATAGTAGCTAATAAGTAGCTACTAGGCAACAGGAACGCAAAAGGGCAAAGAACTCTTCACGTGATCGATCTGGTTCCTAGATTTTATCCGGAAAACGTTTGCAGCGGCATCATACGCTCTCACCTCTTGATGTCCTACAAGTTCTGCATCCGTACCTCTGAAAGCTGGGATTCGATTTTGCAGAAGGAGAAGCCAGCTTGAAATCGCTCAAGATGGTTTGGATCGAGAGGTGCCAAAGCATTTAGAAGACTCCTCAAAGCATGCTGTTCAATTGTTTTTGACATGTTATCCTCTAGGGAAGCTGCGGCGAGACTCGAATTGGGAAAGTTTCCGCAGCGCAGCTTCAACCGTCAGAACTGAAGACTTGGCCTGAAAAAGAAACAGAAAGGAGTGGACGTGTGGAAGCCAAGTGGAAGAGTCAAGATGAAACAGTTCAGAAACACAAAGCTGCAACATATGTTCGATTTGACAGAACCTGGCTGCAGCACCGGAGAATGAGTGAGGTGCCGGCAACTTCTTCGACAGAAGCAAAACCTGCCTGAGCCAGGGGCACGAGCAGTGAATGAGTCTCTGCGCATATGGACAATCTTGAAAAATGCAAGAGGGCTGAAGGAACAAAGCTGCCTGAAGCAAAGCCCGTGCTCGTGCCGGGTAAACCTGAAACACAAGTGATTGCATAATGTGATGCTAAACAAATCGTGGTAGAGTCGTAGAGGAAGCCTCGTATCACAGCGAAAGTAGCAAGTAATCAGCACGCCGACCAGGCTAGAAAACCATTGAAACATGAGAACACCTCCCATGCTCAAAACCCATCACTTCAATCACATGCTTTGCTGTGTGAGATGAATTTCTTGCCATATATAGCTGCATGAGGCCCTGGCCCCAGGAATGCGACACAGCGGCAGCACCTTCCACAAAAGCTCTGTGGTGCGCAACTGCACCATGCAAAATGCAGGAAGGAATTGCCACTCCTCTGCTGAGACTCCAAAGCTCAATCGGGGCATCAAACAGTCAAATAGTGCAGCCTGCCAAGAGTCCAGCGATCAGGATACAACAGAAACATATTGTTTCCAGCATTTGGATTCCTTTTTCAATGGAAACATACCCAACTTCTGAACTTGCTGATATTTTTGATGGGGGCCTTAGTGGGTCCCGTTCAATCAATACAAATAGTAGTTGAGGGAACCCTTGAGTGCTTTTGACAAATTAAACTACGGTTTTGCTTGGTCGAGTAGTGCTCGCAAACCCCACTTGTCTCCTTGCATGTCTCCCCACTTATCTGCCTGTGATCGGCGTTTTGCGCCGCCTTGTCTCCCAAAATAGCTGAAAGCGATAGGGGCCGGCTCTATTTCCCAAATAGCTGAAAACTCTATTATAGAGGTTCTTCTGAATGACTGGGTGGCTGATTTGTGTTTTGGTCCACCGCTGCCACTGCTTTCCACTTGTCTCCTTCCTTGTCTTCCCACTTGTCTCCTTACTAGCCTTACATATCTCCCCACTTGTCTGCTTCTGTTTGCACTTTGTCTGCCGCTGCTTATTTTGTCTTCCCACTTGTCGTGACTCGATGATACTCTTTGTGCCAAGTTTCATGGGTTTGCTGGGTCAAGAGGAAAAGAGGTGCTTTCGTTTTGAGAATTAATTGCTATCTGGGGTCTATGCTGGTGTAATTTCTTCCAATACATCTCACACCGGGAGCAGGCCAATAGTTCATTTAGAAAAACTATAAGACCTCGACCGAAAAGCGCTCCCTGAGTAACTGAGTACCCAACTCATTTATGTATTTTGAAGAGGGTATACATTGTCCTTGTGCCCTTCAGGGAATGAATTGGAACCACAAAAGCAGTATGTTGGTTCTTAACGCAGAAATGACCTATGCTAGGGGTTCCTCTTAAGCTTGACTCTCTAGACTTTCGGGCCAGTCATGGCTTCAGCTGGGGATGTTTGGAAATGATGACCACAATCCAGTTGAAGAAAAATAGAAGTGCATCTAGCTCTGCTATATCCAATAAACTTAAGTTTAACAGTGTTTCCTAAAGATCGCCCCAGCCAAAACGATCGCCCCAGGCCATCTCATGCCAGCGCAAGCGCTCACAAAGCTGCCGGACCTAACCCATAAAGCTCCCCAAACAAGCAAGCACATACATGCACCTTCGTTGATGCGGAGTTCAGTCTTGACAACTATCAAGTACTGTTGCCAGTAGGTCATCCTTCGTTCCTACTAGCCTCTTGCTACTATTAGTAATGCCCTTGTTACTAGTAGCCATGCACTTGTTACTGGTAGCTTCTTGTTTCTTTGTTCGAAAGTAGCTCAAAGCATCTGAGAGCCAACCATACCACAGTAGGTGGCAGCCAAAGTCTGCAAGGATTGCCTTGAAATCCGTGTCTATAAATCTGGAGAACTCCGGTGATTCTTTCTAGCGCCCAAAGGCCCGACAGCGATCCTCTTGAAGCAGCAAAAGCCACACAAACTCCTCAGCTGCGTGGTGCGACATGGTGGAACAAACAAGTCGCACAAAGCATCTCAGCTATATTGAGATTCTCAGCCCCATCTGACTTTAGAGGGTACAAACAACCGTACACCAATTGTGTTTTAGACTGGAGCGTGGTCCGGATGATAGAACGAGAGTGTATTTTGCGATGCTGCGGTCCAACGGAGAGGTCCTGTGGCATATGTCCATTTTGAGCTCTGCAGGCTGATCTTGTGGAAGGCTGTGGGGCATCGATGTCGATCGGAAAATTCTATCGAGTCGACTTCCTAAATTTGAAGATAGACAAAGCATCAAATGATGCAAAGACACTGCTTGCGGATGTCTCCGCCGCCAATTCTCGGAGAGCCAGTGCCGTCCAGAAGCGTCGATGCCTCAGGGACAGATTTTTTGTGCTCCCAATTCCCAACAAAGCTGTGGCTGTAGCCAAGCTGAGAGCCGTGCACGGCTGTGACTCTCTCACGGTCCTGCATCAATCTGCATCGTCTACTCACAGAGCCTACTCATAGAATCATAGAGTGTGCATTTTCCAAACGAGTCAAAATTATCCTGCCGCCAATCGTTGCCGGTAGAGAGCGGTCCGCGATGACCCATGGACTGCAGCATCTATGCCATGCACATCTTTGCAATCTCAACCGGCACAAAAATATACACAGATACCGGTAAGTATTTGTAGGTACTTGAAAAAAAGAACTAAAGAGCCGAACCACCCGACTAGTTGTTACAAAGGGTAAATCCAGAAGAGAATGTTTGCGGATAGAGCGAGGGGAGAGGACGGCTTGAGTGACGAGCTGGTGAGTGTAAGTTGGGGTGAGTACATAAGTTGGCATGTCAATGTTGGTGAGGGTAAGTTGGTATGAGTGGTTTGATTGTGAATTTGGTTGGTGGTTGTGAGTAAGTTTTTTCTGTGAGTAAGTTGGTGTGTGCAAGTTAGTGTGGATAAGTTGGTATGAGCGGGTCCCACCCACCAGCGACACGCCGCCTTTACACAAGCGTGCTTCCAATTCCCCGACGACGCAAAGCCACGCAAACTCGCTTTCCACCGAGGCCACGCAAAACCAGATGGCACAGCGACAGCGCGGACCTAATTTCGGCACTGTGTGCCACAGACATGCCTCGTTGACACTACAAATCATCCCGGAACCAGCGCGGACCCAAATAAAGGCCCTCAAGAGAGCAACAAAATGCATGGGAGGAGCCATGAGGGGAACCCCGGCGGATCCCAGCGAAACGCACGAGAGCTGCGGCGACCAAGGGGAACTAGCGCGGACGCCAGCAACAGCAGACATCCTTACAGAGTAACATGTGCTCAACTCATGCAAAAAAATCAAACCCTGAGAGTCTCGGCTTAATAGTTCTGCTCGCTCCATTTTGCCTCACCTTTGATGGTTTGGATGGTTCGATAGACTCATCCACAATCTCCTGATGGTGGATGAGTCAGCTTTTCCTCCGACACCCACACAGGTGGCTGTGCAATCACACCAGGGTGAGGCCAGGGCGGGTGATTAACTTGAACCACCCGGCTACCCGACGTTCGAATCACTCATGTCCTTGCGCATGAACATGTTTCATAACATGCGCTCAACTCATGTCAAAATTCAAGAGAGTCTCGGCTTCATAGTTCTGCTCGCCCCATTTTGCCTCACCTTTGATGGTATTTTGACGGTTCGATGGCCACAATCTCCTAGTGGTGGATGGGTCAGGCTTTTGTTCAACTTCGTGGCCCTTCCACCACCTCGCGCGAAGCATGCCGCCATTGAAGACAGTATTGCGCTGCGAGGTCGGAAGCAAACTGAACATCGCGCGAAATTCGCTGCAACAGCCCCCCATTGGGTCGAAAAGTCAGTTCTACTGATTGGGTCGGCAATGTTCTGCTTAGAAGGCACCCAATCATAAAGAAACCCAGCCGGACCACCAAAGCTGAATGAAAAGCAAGCAAGTTGCAGATGCTCTCATCCTTGGACATCCCTTTCTCTAGTGCGCTGTGACCTGGTACACAACCACTGGTGTGCAAATTTCTTGTGCGCAAGCCATGACTATCACCTGTGTGAGCAGTTCCAAAAAGTTAATTTGTGTGCTTTCCGGGCACAAAAGAGACGAATGATCTTGCAAGGTGCGATCCCATGAGCATTAAAAAACAATAATAGAGCCACGTCTCAGGGACGATGCCACATCCATTCTAACTGTTGGCCCTCCGGAGACCGGGTCGGGTGCTGAGGCCCACACAGTTCCTTACGGAACACCCCTAATTTGCCGTTCACTTGGCGCCCTCACCCGGAAGCTCGTGACTTTTCTAGGAAGGATATGTTTTCTAGTAGTTTTTCGCGTTTTTCTGGGAGTGCTTTACAAGCATCAGGAGCAGCAGAAAAGTCAGGGGACGCAGCAGAACCAGCAGAAGGGAGCGAGCGAGACAGTGACAAAAGGGAGGGAGCAGAAAAGGCATCCCACTTAACGAAGGAGAAGTGGGAGTGAGGAAAGAGGAGAGAGGAACTATATAATAGGGACTTCTTTGCGGTTGTCTTTGAGTTTCAGTGGTTTCGGGTTTCTTTGGGTTCGGTTTCTTGTCTTTAGGGTTTCGTTGGCCACTTCTGTTATATAAGAGTTCTTCGGTTTTTCACATATTATATATACTAGCGAACTGGAACTTAGAATGCATTTTTGGAAATCCTGATCCGGGGATTTTTTCCCCCCGGTACCGTGAAACCGTGCTGATGATCTTACATAAACTTGGATCAACTTGGATGAACTTTGGCTCCGGGAAAAGCCTGATAACAGTGTTGTCCTGTTAGCAAGCAGCATTCTATGTTTCTTATTTGTTGATGTTTCTTTAACTGTTTCGGTCAAACTAGAATCTATAAGCAGATCTATCTCTATGCACCTGTAAGCACAGGAGTGTAAAAGAGGCAGCTCGTCCACTATCACGGCAATTGTCAGGAACCATCCGAGCAAATACCACGGGAAGCAGGGAGCGAGAAAAGTGGCGGATCTCTTCAGCGTATCAGATTATCACGTATTTGTACATAATCAGTCTTGACAATTTTCAGGGTATATATGTTTATAGCACATGTAAACAGACTCCTCATTCCATACGAGCCGGCATTCTAAGTCTCCCCCCGGCATTCTGAAAAATTGGCCGGCACTCTATTTTCAGTCCGGATATGATAACTATTCTCTGTGCCGCGAAGAGAGAGAAAGAGAGAGAGAGAGAGGAAGCGGAAGCGGAAGCGGAAGCGGACAAGAAAAAGAAAGAGAAAGAGAAAGAGACACAACAAAGGAGGAGCGGAGAGAGGAACTATAATAGGGACTTTTTTGCGGTTGTCTGCCAGCTTCGGGTCTCTTAGGAGTTCTCCGGCTTTCCTCTCTAAATTTTAACCTCGGGCTGTTAACAAAAGGCATGCGCCGTTGGAATGGCACCTTCCTCCTCTATATATAACCCTCGGGTGGCTCACAACAGGTAGGCGTGGCACCTTCCACCCCTAAATGAGACCCTCGGGTGGTTCAGAAAAGGTATGCGCCGTTGGACTGGCACCTTCCTCCTCAAAATTTTACCCTCGGGTGGCTCGCGAAAGGTACGCACCGTTGGAATGGCACCTTCCTCTAAATTTTGCCCTCGAGTAGCTCACAAACGGTCATAAAAGGAATGCACCGTTGGAATGGCACCTTCCTCCACTTAATTGTGCCCTCGCTTGGCTCATAAAACGCGTGCACCGTTGGAACGGCACCTTCCTCCTTTAAAATTGGTCCTAAAGTTTACCCTAGTGTGCCACACAAAAGGTTTGCACTGTTGGACTGGCACCTTCTCCTCTAAACTTTACGGGCAGCTTTGGAAGCTGGCCACTTGCAGCAGCACAGGGTCTTTACTGCAACCAGTGTGGCATTGGAAGCTGGCCGCTTGCAGCAACACCCGCTCGTGACACCCTGGCCAGTGCAAGCAGCGCAGCTTTGGAAGCTGGCCACTTGCAGCAGCACAGGTTGGAAGCTGGCCACTTGCAGCGCACAGGGTCTTTACTGCGGCCAGCGTACCAGGACACGCTCTTTAGACCCTGGCCACTGCAAGCAGCGCTACTTTGGGAGCAGGCCACTTGCAGCAGCACAGGCTCGGTAGACCCTGGCCACCGCAAGCAGCGCAGCTGTGGAAGCTGGCCACTTGCAGCAGCGCAGGCTCTTGACTGCAAGCAGCGCAGTAAACAAAGGCAGCGCTTGCAGTGCTTCAAGCTGCAAATTTGCAATTGAAAAAGCAAAAGCAAGAGCAAATGCGGAAGCAGAAGCAAAAGCGAAAGCAAGTGCAAAAGCAGCAGGAAAAACCGAAGCAGAAGCAGGAGCAAAGGCAAGAGCAGAAGCAACAGCAAAAGCAGAAAGGCAGAAAGCGAAAGCAGAAACAAAAAGCAAAAGCAGAAGCAAAAAGCAAAAGCAGAAGCGAAAAGCAAAAGCAGAAGCAAAAGCAAAAAGCAAAAGCAAAAAGCAGAAGCAAAAGCAGATGCCAAAGCAAAAGCAAAAAGCAAAAGCAGAAGCAAAAGCAAAAGCAAAAAGCAAAAGCGAAAACAAACAACAAAATCAAAAAACGTGAAACAATTACCGGAACAAGAATTCAAATGCCGGTCTATGCAGTTTTTCTTTTTCTCATCTGGTTGTTAACAAGAGGCATGCACCGTTGGAATGGCACCTTCCTCCTCTAAATATAACCCTCGGGTGGCTCACAACAGGTAGGCGTGGCACCTTCCACCCCTAAATGATACCCTCGGGTGGTTCAGAAAAGGTATGCGCCGTTGGACTGGCACCTTCCTCCTTTAAATTTTACCCTCGGGTGGCAGGCGAAAGGTATGCACTGTTGGAATGGCACCTTCCTCTAAATTTTGCCCTCGACTAGCTCACAAAAAGGTCATAAAAGGAATGCACCTTTGGAATCGTTTAATTGTGCCCTCGCTTGGCTCATAACACGTGTGCACCGTTGGAATGGCATCTTCCTCCTTTAAAGTTGGCTCTAAAGTTTACCCTAGTGTGCCACACAAAAGGTTTGCACTGTTGGACTGGCACCTTCCTCCTCTAAACTTCACGGACGGCTTTGGAAGCTGGCCACTTGCAGCAGCACAGGGTCTTTACTGCAACCAGTGTGGCACTGGAAGCTGGCCGCTTGCAGCAACACCCGCTCGATACACCCTGGCCAGTGCAAGCAGCGCACAGGCTGCACCCAGCGTACCATTGGAAGCTGTCCACTTGCAGCAGCGCAGGCTCCTTAGACCCTGGCCACTGCAAGCAGCGCAGCTTTGGAGGCTGGCCACTTGCGGTCTTTACTGCAACCAGCGTTGCAGCAACACACGCTCCTCAGACCCTGGCCACTGCAAGCAGCGCAGCTTTGGAAGCTGGCCACTTGCAGCAGCACAGGGCCTTTACTGCAACCAGCAGAAGCAGAAGCAAGAGCAAAGCGAAAGCAAAAGCAGAAGCAAGTGCAAAAGCAGCAGGAAAAACCGAAGCAGAAGCAGAAGCAAAGGCAAGAGCAGAAGCAAAAGCAGAAAGCAAAATCAGAAGCAAAAGCAAAAGCATAAGCAAACAGCAAAAGCAAAAGCAGAAGCAAAGAGCAAAAGCAGAAGCAACAGCAAAAGCAGAAA